GGAAAGAATTCGCAGATAAAGAGTTTTAATCCTGCAACGTGCTGTGAAATTCCTAGAACGACCGTTCTTCTGCTCGATCTTTTCTTCAGCTTAATTTTTCTTCAAGAAGCCGGTGTAACTTAGTGTGTAAAATTAATAACACCGCTCTGCAGTTTCTCCTTGGAAAAGGATATTCCCCTAGAAACACTTTCACGAAAAATGAGATCTTTTATTCAAGAGCGTGGCAATTTCCACAAGAAACAGCATTCTTTCTGTTTAAATTCTACGCACTTTCCCTGTTAATTTTATACAAAAAAATTCTAAAGATCTTTTATTCTCTTCCCTTTTCTCGAAATTTACATCTCGTTGAAACAATTCTAGCCCAGTCATTTTGTGAAAGAAAAAGAAGAGGAAGAGAGAAAAGGAAGTAAAATACACGAATATTTCTCAACACTTCTGCTGTAATAAAGGGTTTTATTTCGGTTTTTTTTCTTTTTCCTTTAATTTCACTCTTTTTTTTTTGCAAGAAAAGAATGCAAAGGAATGTTACTAACTTTGCAGATCCAAGATGGCCTGGCCTCTTAAAACACATTGAGTCCATTACTCATCTTTATCTACAGCTATGCCGTTGCAATGGCTCATCAACGTTTTTAACGAAACAACAACGCCACTCGCTTCGTGATACAACGCGGCACGTTAGCAAGAGATTAAAATACTTTCTCATCGTAAAATGCGCGATAAAAGTGTCAGTTTTCTCGTGGTAATCAAATTCGCCATATTTTCACCCTATTTAATATACTATACCGTAATACGAAATATCTTCTTTATCTAGATTATGTTAAAAACATAATGAACAATACATGGTTTGTATAATATGATTTATAGGTTGAGGCGTAATAGGTGTTTGCTTGGAACATCATTTATATGAAATTAAGTGTCGGTTTATGCTCTTTGTTTGAAATACCGTTGAAAGCTTTTCAATATGTATGAACATACGCGAGACCCGATTCATCTTCCTTTATGAATTTAAATTCAGTTATTCTGTGGCCAAAGCCATAAATAACATCATCATTATATTCGAAGAGATTGCTAATAATAAAGAGCAATTGTTATTCAACCTCGCACGTATCATTCATGCTCTAAATTCTATATTCTGGAAATCTTTTAAATCCTTTTAGTTCAGTATCGGTAATATTATTATTGTTGTTGTTATTATTAATCTCTCTTTAAGAGATTGTTAGTGAAGAGGGTATTATTCCTCTTTCAAATTCTAAATTCTAGAAACCTTTTAAGTCAGACATAACAGCAATTAAGATTTCGTACGATGCAAAACAGCAATATTCTCTCAAAATAGTATTGTATCTCGATAGCAGAAATATGTGAATTTCAACACTATCTCTTATTATTCAAATGTTTTCATATACGAACGTTTTATTATTCAAACAAAATATTTTTTTAGTAATAGATAACTTTTCTTCTACTATATTATTTCACATTATGTGTTTGATGTGCTTTTTTGTAATTCACCAGTGAAGTTGCTAAAATATGAGATACTAGATTTTGCTGGATAGATAAAATTTATACAATATTTAACTCTGTGATAAATCAATATTTCAGGTGGCAGGGACATTCACATAACTTCTCCACAGATTAAAACAGTATATACAAAAATCAGAATATTTCCTCTCGCGCCGAAGTATTCAAGAAAATATTCAATATTCGAGGCATTTAGAACAAGACTTTAGAAAGGAACTCAACTAAAAAGATTAGATAATTCGTCAACCAAAAGACATTCTTAACAATATGGATAAACTGGAATAAGTTACTGTCCAGTTAAAAACAATATAATTGAATATCAGTAAAGTAATCCTTCTGTCATTCGAGAATTCCATCAATCAAACTTTAATGAAGGACTTTTTTTCCTTTATTGAATCAAATAGAGAGAAAGAGAGAGAGAGAGAGAGCTGTGCTGTACTTTAATTAGTAAACTCGAATGAAAAGCAAAAGCGTATTCATAATCGAATAGAACGCCTCACAAATTACGACTTGATACAAGCTCGCGATGATAACATGCCTGATGTTCCAACGAACTCGAAAAATACAATCAAAACAATCGGAGGCGATATCAACGAGATTTTCACATGGTTGCCTGGCAATTATCGCGGCCGTCTATCGATCTATGAAGTCTTGGTCCCCAGCAAATACGTATAGGACAGGGATATTCTGTGGCGAAACACGGGTATCGTTTATCTCGATGGGAAATTGTGTTACACGGTTACGGACGTTCATCGAGTCGAGTTTACGTATTTATCCACGAGGGAATGAGGGGCTTGGACAAAATTAGAAAACATCCTACGATCAGGAACAAAGGACCAACTCGTTTGCGAGCTTCTTCGTAATAATGGAAAGATTGCACGCGAATTAAATGCAAGGTTAAACCTGCACGTTCGATTCTGCTTGGACTTTTCAATCATTTTCAATTGCACTTGTGTCTCTCTAAGGAAGTTAAAAGAATACTTCGAGTTTGAATAAAATGTGAGAAAACGTTGTCGAATATTTCCTCGAAACGTTGTCGCAAGTCTCTCTCTGTTTGTAAAATAAATTTAAAAAATAAAAAAAAAAAAGGAATTCGAGGATTGCAGCGAAGCGAAGAAATTGCATCAGGCAATCTGCTGCTTTTCGAACTTAATCCAATCATAAAGTATCGGCGAGTGGATGAATTGGATAACTGCTAATGAATTTTCTTTCGTTCCGCGATATCCGTTCTCCTTCATCGATTTTCATAGTTCGTTAAATATGAAAATAGGAACGTTATTCGAAAGAGTTTTAAATTATCCTTCTCCCTGGATGGAACTATTAGCGTAGGGAAAAAATCGACGAAAGAGGAAAGACGAGGTACAAGCAGGGTGGAGGAGGTAACATCGAAAACGGTGAAGAACTTAAGACGATAATCTAAATCCCGCGTATTGATAATTCCTCTTAAGAAATATCTTGTATAAGCTGCGAGAGGATCAACGTGAATAATTTCCTTGACTGGCTGTTGGCTGGCAAAAAATTAATAAGATTATTGCGAACCAATGTCCTGAAAAAGATTCTCGCGTCTTGAGCGTGTAAAAGCTGAATCGGCTGAAACTAACCGTATTTTAGTCGGTAATCTGGTCGAAAATGATCGTGCTGGCTGAATTAATGGTCAGAGATGAAACGTGAATATTTTAAAATTTTTTAATGGACGGGCATTTTCTAGCCAACAGAAAAAGCTAAAAAAAATAAACTAATAAATTTCACTGTATATTCGATGCTGGTGAAAATTAAGCTTTAGAACACTTGACATTCTCTGGAAGATTTGTGTTCTTTCCTTACTCTTTTCTTACTCATAGTCATCAATAATCTTATTGACAGCCCTGCGTCTTTCCGGGTAATAAATTTCAATGTACGTTCGCGTACTTTTAGTAATATTCTGCTTTTCCCGAGCGACCTCTTTATGAGCGATCTTAGATAGGAAGTACATAACCACGCTAATTTAACTTTCGATTGAATTTATTTATTTTTTTCCTGGAACCGACTGTTTATCGAACGCTTACATTCAACTTTATATTTTTTCTTTGAAAACAATATCAATCAAATTTCAATTTTCTATATTCGGTACATTTTGTTCATTGCAAAGTTATTTTATAATTATTACAATCAAGATCCTCAATAAGTAATTTTGTGTTCCACTGTTTCTATTTTCTAATTTAAATTTTTCATTACGAATAGTAGGTTGTTCATTCTTTCAAACTAACTTTTCTGGAGCTTGTGTTAACATTACGAACGATTTTTACTTTATTAAATCAAAGTTTATTTTATTAAAACAATTGACAAAATGACGATCATGATGGATTTTGACAATCCTTAAATCGATTTCTAATAGATATTACGCATTCAACAGCATTTTTAGTCAGAAAATTCTCCGTGACTTTATACGCTTGTGAAATCTGTCATCTCGAAACGTTAACTTCATTTTCTCTTTTTGCTTCTCGGTTGAAACATGAAACTAATGCCCGTTAATTACTAATAAATAAATAAATGAATGAATGAATAAACACTTCTTTTGATTCGCCCTCTTTCTGAAGAGCTGCGAAAAGTTTCTCATTTAAACCGCTCTGACTCTGAATTCAAAGAATCGCGGAAGGGATTTTCCTTGAAATTACGTTTGCGGAAATTGAAAAAAGCCACCAGAATTCTACTAATGAATTCACTCGCACAGTTCTCCGCGGTCGAGATTGTCGTAGCGCGATTAAACTGGCCAAGTCGATCGATACGACATTTGACGCTTGTGGCTCGTACCGTTTTATCAGTAGAAACGTGAACATCCACCTGCCTATCGTAGGTGGATCAATCGGTTCGAATTGGTCGCGGTTAACTCTCGTGGACGAGTTTTGCGCCAGCTGTTCGAAACTTTTAACGACATGCATACGACGTAGAACGCGCAGAAACGATCGTCCAACGTTAATTGTCTCTGACGCCCGTAAATTATGCAAACTAATTTCGAAAGTCACGGACGAGAGATAAGAGGAAATTACGATATTAAATTTAACGCCGGTGCCGTACGCGTCGGGTACGTTTAAAGTGGTTTCCCGGAGAACGAAGCAAAAAGTATCGTACGAGCGATTTACACCGATGAATAACGCGAAGGAGATGATCTTTAACGTAATACCGAGTCATCACGTCAATCTTTGTGACTTTCTTGCGTTTGTCGAACCACGAGAGAATCGTAATTTTACGCGTAACTTGACGCAAACAGATTTTAGGATTTTTCTGGCTACCGCGTAAACTTTGCTGGTTACGCAAATAGACGATAAATCTAACACTCGTGAAAATGTAAATATTTGCATAAACATCGGCAATCTTGTCCTAACAATGTGAATCCAACCGCGAGTACGTTTTTATTACAGAGTTAATTTTCATCGATCCCTGTCTTTTTGCTTTCGCCCAGTCAAATATCTTCTTTATATCCTGAACTGTTTTTATGATGTCTATTTTACAGGAGAACTTCTGCACAAATGATGAAAGGCCGGCATCAATTTCGTCGTCGTTTCAGTTTACAGCCGTCGTCGCTGAAGGAAGGTCAGGAAGATGGAACGACCAAAAACGTTAAGTAAGGAGATTTATATTTCTCGGAGTGTCTTGAAATTTGTCTTGTTCGCGCTTGACGAGAAAGAGAAGAAAAAGAAAAAAAGATCTTTTTTCTCTGGTCCCTAAGGTGCTTTTTCCTCCTGTATATATCGCGGAGAACGGAGCTATAACCGCTTTTACGAGCGGCAACTGATTTCGTTTCCTACCTACGCGATATGCTACCGGTCGCTAATTCGGAACAAACGAAAAGATTACACGGAACCGAGGGGAAAGAACAAAACGATTCCCCCGTTTTCGGTGAGAGAGCGTTTTCCCATCGTTCGTCGAGAACAGAGATTTGAACCGTTAATCCCTTTCTCCTCTCTGCCTTTTTCTTCGCTCGTTTCCTCATCCACCCTCTTCGATCCCCTGACCTCCTCTTGACTCGCTCTTAGACCGGGCCGAGCTTTAATTTTGCGGCTAGTCTTGGCAAAAAGGGAAGCTCGCGCTCTTCTCCTTTGTGCGCTCGGTAATAACCGCGTCTGACTCCTCCTCGTAATAAGCGTGGATGATTACGAAGATACTTAGGAACAGTTGTTATCTGGTGCATGCAAAAGCACCGGTGCACCGTCTCGCGCTCGCATACCCCCCC